TTGTCAGAGTTGCCAGTCAAATGGGAAAAACTTAACCCATGGGTCCAGTCGGCGGAAATAAGGAGGATACAAGGATGGATTTGGGTTCAAGAATTGCATATGACATGGGATGTTCATTGATATTTATATCTTTTAAATAAATAAACAGTATGTTATTTCTTTTGAAATGTATCAACTGCATGAAATTAGTAGAAATATTTGTCTTATATGATTATTGTGAGTTTAAATGTTAAATAGATGTCTATCAACTATTATTAATTCTGTGCATCCCATCTGACACCTTGCTAGCCCATATTAGGGTATGTGATAGGTAAGGATTTAGTTACTGAGACGTTGTCTTACTCCCGTTGCTTTATTATTTTCAGGAAACACTACGCTAACAGGACCTTCAGGGAAGACTCCTGAGGCTCAATAGCTGTAGCTGAGAGTGTAGAGCTTTTGAACCTTATTTTATGCAATCTTTTTGTATATTGCCACGCATCAGGACTGCATTCATTTGGGACTTATTTTACCTTCTCATATTTTTATGTCGTTTGACTTAGTGAACATATTATACCTTCTATCTTTGGTTTATTTTGTCTGAACATTAGACTAGAGTGCTGGTAGTGGGCCCGAGGCCCTTAGATTGCTTGTGATTGAATTATTGTGGATCCACGATGTGATAATGGTAATTTTTGCAAATTTAGTTGTTGCTAGTATTGACTAATATAGTCAAATATAAACTACTATTATAATTTATCATTCAGAGGCGTATTGTTTTATAACCATGTTTGCCATGATTACAAATATATGTTATTCTTTTTCTAACTATGATAGCCTTAATTAAGGTCGAATGCTTTCTATCATGGTTGGCCCCTTAGTAATGTGATTGCTCTTAATAACCATGATAAGGTATATTTACTAGTTTTAGTCATTTCTATTATGGTTAGTTCTAGTTAGTAATTGGTGATGTTACAGGAGGCCAAATTTTAATTTCCCAACTTTTACAATAAATATATTTAATTTGCCAAAACAGCTTTTAAAAAAAGAAAAACTCACCAAGTTGATTTAAGTTTTAAATCTAAAATTTTAATTTATTTTATCTCTCATATTTATTTTTTTTCTAAACTACTTTATAATATTACAATATCTAATCCTTAATATAAAAGCTAGTTGACTAATTTGAGTATATAAGAAAACTAGTTAAGTTAGTTATTTGTAATAAATAGGTGTTGTCTTTTTTTAAAATATCCTTATTAATCAAGTGTATTGGCTAGAACTACCATTATTAAAAGACTACCTTAAGAAGAAATAGATAAATATAAAAGACAAAGTAACTTGGGATCCTATATTTTAGACCAAAATAAAAATCAAACCAACTTTTATATTAAGGATTGGAGGTAACAATATATAATCTATTGCATAGAGGTAATGTAATGAGATCACGTTGTATTTGTTAGAATTGAGTAGAATAATTTATTTAGCTTCCTCTTAATCAATTCAAATTAACTAAGTAACTCTTACATTAAGTGCCAAACCAACATATAAATAAAAGCTAATATGGCTTCCTGATCACATCTATGCCCAACAACTGCAAAACAACCTTCTCGTTATAAAACTGTTCAGCAAACATGGGAAATGTTATTAATGGCAACCCATTAGATATCCCTTCAAGTGTTGAGTTCCATCCACAGTGTGTTAAAAATGCTCCTATTGCTGCGTGTGACAGTACCAAAACTTGAGGCACCCAACCTCTCATTATCATTCCTCACTCTCTCCTCTAACCCATCTTCCTTCAGTAACTTGTCCATTTCGTCTCCTTTGTATGAATCTCTCAGCACCCAAATGAATGGCCTCTTTGAAGCTTCCAGTCCCAAACCTAGCTCCATCAATTGTTCTGGTACCAGTTTTTTTATGCTTCCAAGGCAGACATAGATGACAGATCTTGCAGGCCATGAATCAAGCCACTTCAAATATTGCCCTTCTTCTTCTTCGCTTGAGTCTGGTTTGCCTCTTCGAGCCTTATCCATGTCGTCCTTGTTGCAGAGTGAGACTGGACCGATACACCAACCCTTTCTACCTGTGACTCTTGTATGCTCCTTCACGTATTCATGTTCCAAATCTTCATAGCTATTCACCATCACCCCATATGCTTCTTTTTCAGCCTCCCATACTTTATCTCGGAAAGTGATCAAATCTTTGTGAATATTAAAAAGTGAATGAATCTGAGGTTTTGAACACAACCCTATGAGGCAATCCAGGGACAACTAAAGGTTCTGAATCTGAGACATTCTCATAGACCTTGGAAGAACGTAGACTATGATTGCATAACAGATTGAAACAATTTGTCCCATCGAATATTATCGCAGGAACTTGGAACTTTTCTGCTGCACCAGTTACAGATGGAACATGTGGGTCATATATTACGCAGGATGGACTGGGACTGAGCTTTTCAAAGAGCTCTTCAATTGGGTCCTGCAACGTCGTACACAAGAGATTGAGAAAGCTCGTTAGATCATCCATGGAAGATACAGAATCTAAGCTCTCACATCCTTGTTATGGGAATTCAAAAAGCTGGAGATGAATGGCAGAGCCAGACTGATGAATCTCTCTGTCAGTGTCGGCTCTGACTCCAACGACGTTAAGGTGTGTAGTGGCTAAGGTCACCTTCACGTTCCAGCTAGCCAAGAGTCTAGCTATGTCCATACCATGGGAAGGATATGACCATGGGCCATGAAACGTATCAAAACGAAGTGAAACTCAACAAGTTTCTGGGCCATGCATGGCGGCCGGCGGGGGAAGATTAATTGGATGATATTGCAACAATAGTAGAGATAATGGGCCTCTTTATGGATCAGAGAGGTTGACAAGTTGCTGGGTGAGATGCAGGTTGGCAAGAAACTGATCTGAGCACTGGTACTTGTGAATTGAGAAACACATCATGATTCATCAAGAGGTGGTAAACAAATAAGGAAGAAGAAACGGATTATGATTTTCATTCATCTCCTGTAGCTGGATCCTCCGACAAGAATCCTTAGCTAGAATAGGATTCCAACTTAACACTTTTTGAGATTTTGAGAAGAGTTGCTTTTTAAAGAGCACAGTATGATAAAAGTTGTAAGCCGTGTTGGGGGGAGTTATTGTTTATCGTTGGCTTCTATGATAGAATCAGTTGGGGCCATGAGAGGCAATGGTTTACCCTGTGGCAGTCTATTCTTTTTAGGATTAGAATTGTAAAAGAAAATAGAAAAAAAATCACAAAAAGAGCATAAAAATTACGATTGGGACCTGACATTTTTATAGATTTTGATTATAATTGAATTGTAAATAACAATACATTTTTTTACAAAACACTTGATTTGTAATTTCACAATTTACACTGTTTTCTTTCTTTTGTTTGTTTTTGTTTTTTTGTTTTTGCAATTCTCCCAGGACAACATGTGTGATAGGATGTTTTGTGTAGCTAGGCACCGATATGAGGAGGCAAACATAGAGTTGAGAAATAGACTAAAAGTGATTTTAGGATATACAAAATAGGCATGTGAAATTTTTTTTATTTACGTAAAAATATTTTTTAAAAGTGCTTTTACATTCATCTAAAAACACCCCAAGAGTTTAACTTTTAGAGTTGTGCTCTTGAACTTGTGTCTATGTTTTTAAATAAAATAATAATAAATACAAGTATAAAATATAAATAATAACATTTAAAATGTAACAGCAATTTTTTAAAAGGATGAATAAAATTATAAAAATACAATTCAATGCAAATGTTCTAAAATTTGATAATTCAATTTTGATTATTGTCAAAATATAAAAATATTAAAGAAAACAAAATTATATAAAATAAATAATACTCCCTCTGGTTTATAATATAAGAAGTTTGTTAACTTTTCTCACATTCCAAAAAATGAAAGTTTCGTCATTAAATGTGTCCTAAAATAATAAAGGTTTTCCATTTTACCTTAAAAAATAATAAATTTGCCTTTAATGTTAAATTTTAATGTTAAATTTTAATTATTTCTCATCTCTCTTATATTTAATAGGGGTGAAAGTAAAAAAATAACATTAATTATCTGGACAAGGTCTTATATTTTTTACTATAATTTTTTTTCTAACTAACTAACCTCTTATATTATATTATGAATTAGAGAGTCTTGTATCATGAACTAGAAAGAGTATTTTAGCAGGCAAATGAATGCACTGATTGGACCGGATTACTAGAATTGAACACGAGCACAATACGAAACGGATTTTTTTTTTGTTTGACCAGATTTCTTCATTGCATTGAAATCATCAATACATTTAATTTATACCACTTTAAATTATATATAGTCAAACTCAAATGTATAGTACTGTTTTGAATATAATAGTTTACTATTTGGAATTTGATCAAATATATATTTCTATTAACATTGGTTGATTCTATAACGTTTTTGTATTTACTTTGGATATTACCATTTCTGTTGTAAATAATTATCATATTTTGTGAAAGTTCGTGAATATGCAAAATTCAAAGAACCTAAAAATGACTTTCCTAAATCGTTATATCTTATTTTTCTTCTCATTCGCAACAATCCATGGGTGTAGGGACATCCATGTGTGGCAAATTCATCATCATTATTTTTTGACATGGAGAAATATATAACATACAATGTTTTATGTAATCATAAGTGTGATCTCTTATTTATGGAAAAGCTTTTTTGTCATTAATTATACCATAAGGCCACTAGCTGTTGCAGTGTTATAGGTTGCTAGCTTTTGTGTTATATATTCAAATGTCTTTAATAAACTTTAAAGACAAAAGATTGAGACTTTATATTTAGCATAAGGTGAAATAATTTTCAAAACTTTTCAGTAGACTATATATATATATATATATATATATATATATATATAATAAGACTGCCCCATATAATTCGATAAACCAAAGCAAAAGGGCAAATAATTTAAAAACGAACACACAAAAATGATCAATACAACAGATTTTGCAGGCGCCAAAGTTGTCCATAAAGCGAACGCTTTTATGCATTTGTATGAGGCTTAACTCCTGGGTTCATCTTCATCCTCATGAAATGAGCTAAGTCTTCAATAAGCAACGAAATGTTCAGGGTAGAAGATCCTTCTTTCTGCATTGTCTTGTTTGCCTTCTCTGCATATTCCTTTGCTCTTTCTCTTATCCTCTTACTTTCTTCATCATCTTCACTCATTACTTTCTCTATCGCCTCCTTCACTTTTTCCTTCTTCACCTGAACTTCTCCATCCTTGTCCTCCCCCCAAATATGCATATGCTTCTCAGCTCCCACCTTCACACCTGTCTGCAACACCTCCACAATAACCTTCTCGTTATAAAATTGTTCAGAAAACATAGGGAATGTTATTAATGGCACTCCATTACTGATCCCTTCAAGTGTTGAGTTCCATCCGCAGTGTGTTAAGAAAGATCCTATAGCCGTGTGGGACAGTATCAGAACTTGAGGCACCCAACCTCTTATTATGAGTCCTCTTTCTTTCACTCTCTCTTCTAATCCATCTTCTTTTAGCAGCTTCTCCATTTCATCTCTCTTGTATGCTCCTCTCAGCACCAAGATGAATGGCCTCTTTGAAGCTTCCAGCCCCAAACCTAGTTCCATCAGTTGTTCTGGGGCTACTCTGGATAAGCTTCCAAGACAGACATAGATGACAGATCTTGCAGGCCATGAATCAAGCCACTTCAAGTATTGTCCTTCTTCTTCTTCTTCGTTTGAGTCTGTTGTCCTTCTCTGAGCCTCATCTATGTCGTCCTTGGTCGACAGTGAGACTGGACCAATACACCAAACTTTTCTCCCCGTGACTCTTTTATACTCCTTCACGTATTCTTCTTCCAGCTCTTCAAAGCTATTCACTATCACCCCATATGCTTCTTCTTCTGCTTCCCTTACTTTCTCATAGAATCCAGAGATTCCCAGCTGACGCGTGCTGCTACTAATGAGGGACGAAGGAAGCTGGGATTTTCTAAATGAAATTTTATTGGGTAATCCAGGGACGATGAATGACTCAGAATCTGAGACATTCTCATAGACCTTAGAACTACGGAGACAGTGAGTGCTTAACAGATTGAAACAGCTAGTTCCATCGAATATTAATCTGGGAACTTGGAACTTTTTTGCAATATCTGCTGCGGATGGAATGCTTTTGTCAGATATAATGCAGGTGGGAATCGGTCTAAGCTTTTCAAAGGCTTCTTCAAGTGGGTCCTGTAATAAAGATAAAGCCTTGAAAAAGTTTTGCAGAAGATCTGTTGAAGGTAGGGCATCAAAGCTCTCACATCCCTCAGGCACACCAGACTCAGAATTTGGGAACTGAAAAAGTTGAATTTGGAGGGATGAACCAGATTGCAGAATCTCTGTGTCAATGGTGGCTCTGATTCGATCGGCGTTGATGGGTGTGGTGAGTAAAGTCACCGTCACATTTTTCCGGCGAGCCAACAGCTTGGCTATGTCCACCATGGGAAGAAGATGGCTTGGGACCATTAAGGGTATCAAAACAAAGTGATGATGAAGCTCTTGCGATTCCATGGTTCCACAGAAATTATGGGTTTTGATTTATCCAAAGGATGGGGTTCGAGAAGATGCAGAAAGCCACAAGGTTGGCCGTATATATGTGTGAGCGCCCCTTTGATGAATTTGGAAATTTTTTTCTTAATTTAGGGTCCGAAAATCATTTAATTCGTTCACTGCATTTTTTTAATGGTTTTGTTTGTTCATTGCATTGGAATTTGCAATTAATACATGTACATTAGTCATCAACCTTTTTATATTCAAATGTAATCTTTGATCCTATTTATAAATTACTTCTATGTTTCATATATATTAAAAAAAATCTCAAATTTTATTAACTTTTATTTAAAATTTAACAATTTTTTAACTTTATCTCTATTTAATATATATTATACCCAATAAAAACAAAATCAACACAATAATAAATGAAGAATAAAAATGTACATGCATATAAAATTTTTTTTCTCTTTAACCAATAAATAACTCCAAGACATTTTAGAGCAAAAAGGGAGGAAAAAAAAAACTCATGCTCTTCCGTGTGCACTTTCGTGGTATTTTAACATCTTATGTTTTTAATATTTATTAACGTTGACTGATTGATTTTATAATAATGTTTTCGTATTTTGCTTTGGCTTTTATATATCTTATCATTTAACAAATAATTTAATGAATCTCGTAATTTATTTTGTTGTTCAAATTTGCACTTTAATACTCTTCTTGTTCTATTTATAAGTTACTTCTAATATGTTTCAGGCAGATCAAGAAAAATTTTAAATTTTATTAACTCTCCTTTAAAATTAAACAATTTTTCAACTTTATTCCTATTTAATACATATTATACCTTATGCAAATAAAATCAACACAATAATAAATGAAGGATAAAATTATATATATATAAAATTTCTCGTAATATCCTATAAATAGAATAAAAAATATCTTTTCTATCTATCCTATAAATAGGACTAAAAGAGTAATAAGACTAGACAGGCACATGTGCAATATACAGGATCTTCCTCTATTCATGTACAAAGTTAATAAGGGTGTTCATGAAGCCCAGTTGCCCGCAATGCCCGCCCAAACTCGCAAAAAAATGCTCAGCCTGTTCTAAAAAAAAGGCCTAAAAGAACTATTGGGCATGTTTGGGCTGGGCAAATTGTTGGGCAGGACTGGGCATTGGGCACGGTATGCTGCCCTGCCCGCAAAAATATATATAATTATATATATATTTTATTTGTCTCATATTTATTTTTTTGAATCAAATATATTGTTGCATCAATATTTAATATTCATTATATTTATTTATTTTTGAATGAGTTTAAGAGTTAGAAACTAGAAAAACAATTAAGTTTAATAAAATATTAAAACAATATTTTTTTTTGTCATAGTCCACTCCTCCTAACTACTACAAAAAGTAGTTTCATAGTATATTAATTATTAATAACAAAATTAAGGCCAAATTGCCATTTTAATATAAAGTTACATTAGATTATTTAAAAAGACATAAATGATTAGTTAATTAATGTAGTATATTGACTTGTTGGATATGAAAGCTCGCCCTGCCCAACCCGTATTTGCCGAGTCCGAATTTAATAGGGCTTTTCATGTGCATGGCTGGGCAACAGGCTGCATTTCCCAGCCCGTTCATTCTTCAAGCTGGGCATCGGGTAAGGGTCTCGTCTTGCCTAGTCCTGCCCATGTGCAGCCTTAAAATTTAAACCAAATGCTAGTGACATGACAATTACAGTTATCAATTTAAAAATAAAGTTTCATGTACACACAAGCAGATTTAACTCCAAAAAATAATCGAATTTTCACTGTAAAAAAGTAAAATTTACAATGATGTTTTTTCTGTTTTGAGCATAGAGTGATCACACACACATATATCTTCCCAAAAACTTAAAAATTATTATCTTGACCGACATCTGACATTCCCTAGAACTTTCGATGATAGAGACATGATAGCACTAAACCGTGTCGTATCCTGAAAGTAACTAGCCTGTCATATGACATAACAAAAATTTATTATATTTAGTGTTCGAAAGTATTTTGAAGAGCAACACCTGGAGGATATATTCGAGGGGCATTACAGTATCAACTTGATCAAATGTGAGGGGGGCACGGTGACTATAAGTTCTATCCAAATCACGTGATGTTGGGAGAGAGAGTGGACAAGAAGTTGATGGTGTGGAAAAAAGGACGTGCATGAGCTGGTTGGCCATATATGTCTCTGTACGATGATGATGATGATGATGATGTCCATCTTCAAAATTAATTATTAAAATGAGCTTCTCAGATCTGAGTTGTGAATTTCGATGCAAGGACCACAGCCTGCTGTGATCTCTTCCTTTTGATTAAACCAGCAATCTAATCAAGAAACATAAGCATAGCTTATTCTGGTTTCATGAAACTGCTTACGATTCCTGCAAAATGATTAACTAGAATATAATTAGATGCATGCACATAAGTATAAACAGTTTTTGTTGAATAAAGCCTTAATTCATCACATGAAGATGTAAATTATAAAATACGACAGAAAACGGTACTATCTTTGGTCCTTAATATAAAATCTAGCAATTTGAACTAGTTTGATTAGAAAAGGTAGTATTACCTCCCATCCTAATTATAAGACCTCTTTTATTATAAAATCATATTTCATTTTAATAATAATGATAATATATATATGAGCTAGTGTCGCGGCAAGTTCCATAAAATGTATGTTAACATAAATTAAAATTACATTTCTACTATGAAATAAATAAGTAGAGATATATTCTGTTAATTTTATTTAATTTCAGTTACAAAATGACAAGATTGTTTATGGACGTCCGATAATTTTCATGAAAACAATTGTATGCTTCTGGAAAATAACATGATAAGATTTTTCAATTGTGTGAAAATATTAAACGTGTTCTATTGTTGTTAAAAGAAATAATTTATCATGTTTTAATTAAAAATCCTTTTTAAGTACATCAAAAAGAATAATTAACACACACTTCTTGAGTTCCCAGTTTCTCGATCTCTCCTTAATTATCTGACTAGTTTCATACACACATGCCCCAAAAGCTATGTAACCGTTTGGTACGTATAGAACCTCTCTCTCTCTCTCTCTCTCTCTCTCTCTCTCACACACACACACACACACACTCAGTGCAAAACATTAGGAGAATCAAAAGAAAAATCAAACCAGTATTGGGTCCTATTTAGAAAATAAATGAGATTAAGGTTCTGAAATTTAATTCTACCTCCAATCTGATCCTAAATATAAGAGTTAGTTTGTAGTCTGCACTACAAATGACAAGGAACTGTTATGTCCATTGGCTTTCGGGTGGGTTTCTAGATTAGAATGCAGGAATCCGAGATATGTTCTCAATATATATCTAACAAACACTGAAATAGAATTATGTAAAATACAAACCATGATATGAACTGGTACATAAACACATGTAGGTTACTTATTCCTAGAAGATCCAAGAAAAACAAGAACAAAAACAAAAGCCAATACATGCAGCAACCTGCAATCTTTCACACCCTTTTATGCATTTGGACTTGGTTGAGGCTGATTCAATTTCATCCCCATGACATGTTGTTTTATGTCTTCAATAAGTAATGATAAGTTAAGATAAGAAGACCCATCTTCCTGGATACCCTTCTTTGCTTTCTCTGCATAATTCCTTGCCCTTTCTCTTATCTTCTCACTTTCTTCATCTTCTTCATTCATCACTTTCTCTATTGCCCCCTTCACATTTTCCCTCCTCACCTGAACCCCGTACTTGTCTTCCTCCCCAAAACTTATCGTGGTCTCAGCTCCAACCTTTTCATTGAAAAACTGCTCTGCACTCAGAGGAAATGTCATCAATGGCACCCCACTACATATCCCCTCAAGTGTTGAGTTCCATCCACAATGTGTCAGGAATGATCCTATATGGCTTTGTGTGACAGTATCAGAACTTGAGGCACCCAACCTCTTATTATGAGTCCTCTTCCTTTCACTCTCTCCTCTGATCCATCTTCCTTCATTAGCTTCTCCATTTCTTCTCTTTTGTGATCTGCTCCTCTCAACACCAAAATGAATGGTCTCTTTGCAGCTTCCAGTCCCAAACCTATCTCCATCAGTTGCTCTGGTGGGACATAGTTTATGCTTCCCAGGCAGACGTAGATTACAGATCTTGCAGGCCATGAATCGAGCCACTTCAAATATTGTTGGCTTTGTTTCTCGTTATTGAAGTCTGTGTTCTTGCCTCTCTGAGCCTTGTCTAAGTTGTCCTTGTTGCATAATGAGACCGGACCAATGCACCAAATCTTTTGCTTCGTCACTTTCTCATACTCTTTCACGTACTCAGCTTCCAACTCTTGGAAACTGTTCACTACCACCCCGTAAGCTTCCTTTTCAGTTTTCCTTACTTCATCGAAAATATCATTGGGTTTAAAATTTCGTGGAAGCTGAGGTCTTTTAAGCTCGATTCTATGAGGCAATCCGGGGACAACGAATGCCTCTGAATCAGAGACTCTCTCGTACACCTTTGACCTCCACAGGCTGTGACTGCATAATAGGTTGAAACAATTAAGTTCCATCGAATATAATTCTTGGACCTTGGAACTTCTTTGCCACAGAAGCCACTGATGGAACGTATCTGTCAGATATTATGCAGGTGGGAGGAGGAGAAGTAAGTGTTTCAAAGAGTTCTTCAAGTGGGCGCTGCAGCTTACAGAGAGATTTAAAAAACTTCATCTTCATGTCCACGGAAGTCACAGCGTCCACGCTCTCACATCCCTCAGGCACACCCGACGACTCAGCACTTGGGAACTGAAAAAGTCGAAGCTCGATCGGTGAGTTACAGTTCTGGTTTTCTCTTTCAGTGGTGGCTTTGACTCGCATGGCGTTGAGAGGTGTGGTCACCAAGGTCACCTTCACGTTTCGCCGGCGAGCCAACAATCTGGCCATGTCCGCCATGGGAAGAAGATGACCTGACGCCATTAAAGGTATCAAAACAAAGTGAAGAAGCTCAGGCTTCTGCGAT